CTCAGCGGGAAGCCTGCTTGTCCCTCTCCCACTCCCCCTGCTTGTGTTCCCTCTCTCGCTGTGTCTCTCTCTGTCAAATAAATAAATTATTTAAAAAAAAAAAAAAGATGTATTGTATTCTGAAACAAATGGTAGCGATAACTGGCAGCTACGTAGAAAAAGATAAGGTTCAATCTATATACTATCCTCAAACACCAGAATAAATCCCAAATATATCGAAGATGTAAGTGTAAAAATGAAACCACAAAAGTACTTAAGGAAAACATGAACAAATTTCAAATTCTTGGAGGCCTTTCCGTGACTCAAAATCCAGACACATAAAAGATTAATATTAACTACCTAAAATTTAAAGAAAAATCTTTGAAGCTTTCTCTAGACCAAAATACAATAAAAAAACAAGTAACAAACTGGGGAAATTGCAACTCATGTCCTAAAGGGTTAATCTAATTTATACATTCCTAGAAATTGATAAGAAAAAAGCAATCCAAACGAAAAATTACAAAGGGTATGAACAGATAGTTCATAGAAACAGAAACCACCTTTAAGCATATGAAAAGATGCTCAGCCTCATTCATATCAAACTAATGCACATTAAAACTACATAGTTATCATTTTCACTATTAGAATAATATAAATCTAAAGGTTGGAAAACACTGTTGGAGAGGTTATGGAGAAACAGGTACCCTGATGCCTTACAGGAGTTCACAACCCTGAAGAAGGGCAGAATTTAACAAAGTTATAAATGCATTGCTCAATGACCCAGCAATCCCACTTGTGGAAAGATATCCCACAGATACATTTCAATATACGAAATGAGATGTGTACACGTGTATTTACCAGGACATTGTCTGTGATTGTTAAGGGACTGGAAAAAATTCAAATACGCATCAATGGGGGCTAGTTCAATACACTATGGCATGGGTATACAGTGGAATATTCTGAAGCTGTTAACTAGTGTTTTCTATACACTAATATGGAAAGATCCCAAAGGTATATTAACTTAACAAAAAGCAAGGGACAGAATAATTTATGTGGTGTGCTATATTTTATATACAAAGAAGAACAGGTATTGGCTCATATCTACACAAAGGAACATCTATAAGGAAACAAATAGGGACGCCCAGGTGGTTCAGTCAGTCAAACGTCTGCCTTGGGCTCTGGTCATGATTCCAGGATCCTGGGATTGACCCTGCATTGGGCTCCCTGCTCAGGCAGGAGCCTACTTTTCCCTCTCCTGCTCCCCCTGCTTGTGTGGGTGCGCGTGCTCTCTCTCTCTGGCAAATAAATAAATAAAATTAAAAAAAAAAAGGAAACAAAGAGGATATTTATGGGGATAGGGGACAGGTTAGACCACAACAGAGTTGGAAATTAAATTCCTCAAAATAAGCTGTTTTAATTTTTGAACAACATGAATATTTTACCTATACAAAATTAATTTTAAAGTGTTAAAAGTGTAACTCACAGAAAGAAAACTACTCATAAGCCAGAGTCAAAATCCAACGAGCTCAATGCACATTGATCGGAAGAACAAATATTGTGAAAATGTCTATGCTACCTAGACCAATCTACACATTTAATGCAATCCCTATCAAAATACCATCAACTTTTTTCAAAGAAATGGAACAAATAATCCTAAAATTTGTATGGAACCAGAAAAGACCCCAAATAGCCAGAGGAATGTTGAA